TTTATTTTAAAATCACTATTGCAACGAATTTTTATTTTTCTTAAGTAACTTGAAATGTTTCCAGACCGATTGCGAAGATAAACGCGGCGACTGCTCCGAACGTGCTGCAAAAGGATATTGTACTAGTGCAGGCGGAGACGAATTCCAAAAACAATGCCCACGAAGCTGTGGTCTTTGTGACTGCAGAGACCTTGCTTCTGCCGATGACTGCGAGCAAGTTAGAAGAGCTGGCTACTGTGATTCACACAGGGAGCACTCGGATTACTACTGTAGAAAAACGTGCGATTTTTGTCCTATCGTCTAAGCTGTCAACGTCAACGTTCAAGTAATGTCGTCATGAGTTAATGAACGTTTTTTGTTTCGTGATATACTCTTCGGCACACAAAGGTACGGGCTACATTCTACGACCCGGAACCGAATATGACACCCTAACCACAAGCTCACAGTCTTTTCGGGACCATTACATCCACGACATCACCTTACTAAATGCTAAGTACACGGTGACACATGCTACGGTAACAAGATGAAATGATCACAGAAAACCTATGCAGCGTGTAAAAAGCAATCGGGCAACTATACTTGTTGAAGGCCAACAAACAAAGAAAAACAAGGTCACTTGTGAAAATGGCCGACATTTGCATCGAGAAATGAGTGAAGTAGATCGTGCCAAAAATTCACCGCGGTGCGTTAGTGAGGAAACGGCGGATTAATCTCAAGCACGCGCTTATGAATTGGGCCTTTCTGTGCACTAATCGGAGAGGGACGCTCACGTCCGGGGGGGGGGGGGGTGACATCAAAACAGAGCCGAAGGTAGGTGACACTTGGACTAAGCCCAGGAGAGGGGAGAAACGCTGACGTAGGTAATACGTTCATGGGATGTTAATGCCAAGTAATAAAAACATAAAGGTCAAAATCAGTTCGCAAACAATATTGACAGCACTCATCTAATGCCCAGGGAGGGCGAACAGCTTCACAAATAAAAAGGAACTGTAAACATTGTTCTGAGCTGTGGTAATGTTCGAATACCGAGTAAAATGTAAATAAGTGTTTCCTCACCACAAGAGCACCCCCAAACTTGCCACTTCTATACTAGTGAACGGCTGGGAATTCTTCTAGCTTTTCCCTATTAAGGATGACCCTAGCGTACCGTTATTGGCAACAGCCTCTTTAGTAGTCTCTAGTCTCTTTTAGTCTAGTATCTTTATGATTCCTTTTTAGTTTCCACACAGTTTCATGATTATGGAGTCACCCTGAGAAAAGGAACAGCATGCCAAGGTCGATTTCAGAAGTGGATTTAACAATCTATGGTTCCTCCTTTTTAAGGGGACCATTAAATAGCTTCTGTGGCATATTGGAATGGAGATTCCATTTCAATATGCCACGAAGCTCTAACCATCAGTGCACTTCTGTGCTTCAAGGGTTGCTTGTTTAAGATCTTCGTAATTCCGAAGCGCGCTTATTCGCATGAAAGCCCCTGACAAGGACTGAGCTCTTCAGAACAGGTTTCGGGAATGGAACCATTCTTTCGTTGAGTAACTTACATAGCTATCAGCACTGCTGTGTAAGAATGCTCTGCAGCTCAGATGGCATCGCCGGCTCAAGAAAGGGATCATGTGACCTTGCGAGCAATAATAGATGAAAGAAAGCATGAAACTTGCCAAATACTCTGAATGAAATGTGTTCCCTTCTGTGTATGATTATAGCGAGCAGCTATAATTCGCTTATTATTCGCTAACGAGTCGCTTTAGGCACATTAGAATTGAAAAAAAAAACGAAATTTCCTAGAATTCAGGGCAACAGTCTTGTAGAACTCGACGAGCTGAGTCTGATGATATACTTCTCTTTTAAAAAAAAGTAAGCAATGATCGAGTTAGAAAAGACTCCAAAAAGACGCGGGTCCGCATCTTCATGAGAAGTACTGCTCTTGGAGTCAGTTACACGATTCAGGCAAAAAAGGTTCGGCACAACATCCTTTCAAACAGCACCACACCTTCAAGCTTCTGAGTCCCACCCACAGCTTCTGCTCCACAGAAACCGTGAGCACAAAAGTACCACTTTCGCAGATCATGGGGAAAGTTTTCATGACCGCAGAGATTATGAAAATCCCCTTTTTTAGCAGGTTAAACCAACCTTGATAGATTTGTTTGACATATTGTGCGATTGCGATGCAGGCTCAACTTTGGCCAATCTCGTCCTAAGTTCACATTTTAGAATTGAAGCTGTGTCTCCTCATGGCGGCCAGTAAACTTTGGTTTCATCTTCGCTGCTTTCCTGGAGCAGCTTAATTGACTTCTCAGTTCCTATTTTTCAACACAGAAGTGTTTACTTACGAGCGAATCCAGTTCCAAAAGGAAGTTCACTTTGGAACAGTCCTCATGATTCTATAATTTTTAATCGTAACCATTTGTGCCGTATGTACAAAACTTGTAGAAGATCAAGGGACTTAGGAATTCTTAAAATATTTACGAATGATTACCATTCGCTGTGAATCTTAGCGTCGAAATTTTTGGCATGGACCCGACGACTGTTGCCAAGAAACTCTGCGTGACATTTGCTCAAACCGACTCGCAAGCATACATTATACGATGCTATACGATGACTAAGTTAGGAATGTACGACTGGTTGATTTTCTCATTTTCTAAGGGATAATTTTTTTCAAAGAAATGTGGTCACTTTCGCGGTAAAGCACCTTATACCGAAACATCTAAAATTCGAACTAATTCCCAACAAACAGAGAAACAAAACAAATGAGCGAGTAGAGCAGAAGAAGTGCTCGTAAAAGGAACACCACTCGATATGAAACAATGACGTTTACGAGGAACAATTTTAATTTGAAAATTGCTATGGCTTATCCGTCAGCCAATTCGAAAAGAAAAACGGCAAAGCTTTTTCGGCAACCTAAGAGTGGAATGTTTAGAAGAGGTCATGGGTAAGTATAGGGTATATCACTGGTTGATTTCTCCCCAGGGAAAATAAAGTTACAGCCAGTTGTCGGTTTGGTCAATTTTTGCCGGCGAGACCTCCCATTTTGCTGGCCTGAAATTCGAAAACTCTGAAATAGCGGTGGAAGCGGAACACAGCATTTTGTAGAGCAGACAATTCTCTTTCGAATGATATATAAAACGATGTAAAAGTTTCATGATTTAGATGAAAATTTTTTGGTTGAAAAAAAACGACATCACTTATGAGACAACCTAATATAATCGGTAGGCGGGC